GTTATGATAGTAATAGCACGTGATGGGTTCGAAACCTAGAATTAAGGTTTGAAACCTGGGATCTGGGTTCGAAACCCCAGATTTGGGTTCGAGACCTCAGATCCAGATTTGAAACCCTTGAACATCGAAATGTATAAATAGGGTGCTTGACTAGTAAATAAAGTAACTTTTTCTAACTTTTTTTTACTTGGCTTCAGTAATAAATAAAGTGAATACTTTATCTAACTTTTTCAACTCTTTCTTATTTTGACTTGATAATAATTAAATAACAAGCTCTGACCTTACTTACTAAGTGACATGCGATAATCAACTTGGACCTAAATGTAACCTGTGGTAACCTAACTTGGATCTAAATGTAACCTGTGATGATCTAACCTGAACCCTACGTAACCTAGCTACAACCTATAATGACTCGACTTGAATCCTAATCAACCTAGGTATAATCTGTGACGACCTCTTTCGAATATAGTCTTATTAAAGCGACAATACTTACTCCAATCAATAATTATTACCATATACGAATCCAGACTGTGCTACTTACCATCAGGATTTATGCTTAGGCACAAGACTAAATTGACCTGGACATATAAAAGCTCTCTCTAATCATAATATTTTGGTGCTGATTGTGTGGAAGAACAATAGAAGGTGTTAATAATCATGTGAACGAACAAAAGAAGATGTTGATATTCTTGTGGATAAGTAATTGATAATAACAATCGTATGCTGAAGTGTGTAGATAAACTTTGAGTACAAACAAATGTTGATAGTATTATATGAACAAACATTGATAACATTTATTGATCAAGCGTCGACAATTATTGTAAGCAAAGCGTTGATAAGTGTTGTGTATATAACATAGACAATACTGTGTGGACGAACATTGATAGGATTGTATAGCAAACGTTAAATAAGGATAAAATGTTTCAGTAATAAGTGTGAACATCACAACAGTAAGAGAACAAACGTGTATACAACAATAGTGTGAATAAGCGTAGATACAATAGTAAAAGCGAGCATCAATATAATAGTAAAAGCAAGCGTTGGTATAATAGTATAAGCAGATAATTGGTATAAAATGTGGAGAAACACCTTTAACGATACAAATTCTAGAAATAAAGATCACGATTATAAGCAAGGAAATAATGAAAACTCCTCTAGTAACAGCAATTCTCGTCAAAATGAATATCTTTTGGATAATCTGAACCACCAACTCCAACAGTTGCTCTAGACCATAGTAGATGCATTGGCACAATACAAAGAACCTCAAGCGAATATTGGTAAAATAAATTTGGTTAGAATTCCAACATTTAATGGAGGAAATCAAGACCCCATTGAATGGTTAAAGATAACTAGACAAGCCTTTGATACGAACAATATTCAGAGAACAAGACAGCTTATAGTTGGAAGTGCCCATCTGTCTGGTCCTGCTGTGTCATGGTGGTCAAGCCAAAAAGCTAGAATATAATACGGGACAATGAGACGATAAAAGACCAAAGCTTTGTGCACCAATTTTGGCAAACATTTTGTATACCAGCTCTAATTAATCAGTGGAATACAGAATTATTAAATCACCATCATCATTCTAGAGAGATGATAGAGCAATATGCTATGGATATAATGTCTCTGTTAGAACAGGTTGCTATTACAAGGCAGTATTCAGAAAAAACGAAGATTCAAATGTTTGTACAAGATCTTTGTCCTGAATTAGCATTGGCAGTTAGATTCTTTAAACCAAATACACTTTTTGAAGCTGCTGAACAAGCCCAAAGGTGTGAAATGATGATTGCATGAGGAACTTTCTTGGCTTATCAAACCAAAGTATCTCATTTGATATGTCCATCAAGCCCTAGAGTAACAACCTTTGTACCTCTCGCAACAAGAAGCCCAGTGGCACAAATAGCTACGTTATTACAAGAAATCGTTTTAACAGTAAAAAGTAATAGTAACGATGGCTATTGGCCAGAAGGGACCCAATTGACCACCTCCCAAAGTCAAGCTTTAGTTGACTTTGAAAATAGCGGTGCAGTTGAAATTGGAGTTAAAATATATTAGTACTGTGTACCACAACTTTTAGAAAGTTGAT